TGCTGCTTTTACCCCACTTCCCCCCATCGGTGATGTGTGTGGTCACCAATCAGAGCGTGCATTTCCATTGAGTCTTAGTCTTGGAAGGGGGTTTGCGTTGAGAGGACCTGGCCACTTGCCTTGATGTTTCCTAGGGAAGTGATTTGTTTGTTCTTGTAGTAACAGTCCATCTGCCTCCATTTTTCCTGCAGCTCTTTCTTTCAAGAGGTATCTTTTATTCTTCTAGCTGCTTCAGGTTGGTCTGATCGTCAGCTTTGTTTTTAAGTAACTGTTAACTATTTGATCGCATATAGTTCATGGTTTAAGGAAGCAAATTACTCATGGGTGCTAGTGTTCATTTTATAAGCCAATCCATCATATGACTGAAAGCAGAAATGGCTTCAATTCCAAGTTCACAGGGTGTACTAAGGCCTTGGGCATTCCTCTAGTCTCTATGGGTAGGACTAGTCTAGTCTCTGTTAGGTAGGTCTGGCCTTTTTAGGAATTTGAGTTTTGTTCTACATTTTACTCCCATTCTATCTGGTACCTATAATTGTGTCTCTGGTCAAAATTGTTGGTAGCAGTAGCTGGGCACCATCTAGTTCTTCTGGTATAACTTAAGTGAGTTTCAAGACACAGTTGAAAGTTCTTGGCACCTGCTTAAATGGTTTCACCAGAATATTTGCTTGACCAAGATACGTTATTTCCTGACCATGCCCCATACAGACGCACCCAAAATGACCTTCTGATTTTATTTTTGAATTCCATCGCTCATGGCCAAAGAGCTACGTGCGATGGCTGTCATGCCTTTCCCGTTTTTAGAGATGGCATGACACCCCCATACCTGCTTGTGCTTAGCTCTTGCTTCAATCCAGTGATTGTTTTCATCCAAATACATCACCTGTTGCTGCTGTTGCTGCTACTTGAGCGCTTGTTGAGTCAGCTCTGACATGCCGATCCTGCATTAGGGTTTCCAAGGCTATAAATCTTTATGAGAGCAGAAACCCCCATCTGTCCTCTCATCGAGCAGCTTGTAGAGTTGAACTGCTGACCTTGCGGTTAACAGCCCAACACATAACCCACTACACTACCAGGATTCCTTACATATCACCTAGAATGCAAAAGATAAGACTTTTCTTAAGTTCAAGATGTGGCATTTTCTTGGGCAAATCTCAGAAGTGTGTGCATGTGTGTGTGTGTGCGCATGCGGGGGCAATATTGGCAATTCTGACAGGAAAAAGACTAGACAGCTTTGTGTTTATTTACTTTCTTGTTCTGTTCCTAACTGGAGAAGTGTGTACTTGTCTGGGGTTAAGGTTAAGGAGAACAGACCTTTTTCTTTTTTTAAGCCATTAGTGCCTGGTGTCTGAATTCTCTGAACTGAGGGACAAGTGAGAGACGGACTTGAAAGAGATTTAACTTTAGAATATGCAAGTCAAGAACTAGAAAAGTAAAAGTAAAATCTCCTCCAACATCAATTAAGGAAGGTTTTCTCATTTGCATATGAGGAAGAGCCTACAGTAATCACTGAGAGGTGGTCTGGGGGAAGGTGCAGTGATGATGCTGACTTGTGTAAGTATTCATTGGTAGGTTTTGTTGATCTTCTTGTAAGTATTTGAGGCTTTGATGCAGAGATGTGGACTGTAGGCTGGGCTCACCGTTCACTACGTCGTTGTTGAGTCGATTTCAACTCATGGCAACCTCAAATGACAGGGTAGAACTGCCTCATGGGATTTTCTAGGCTTATTCTTTATGGGAGTAGGTTGCCAAGTGTTGCTCCTGCAGAGCCGCTGGGTGGGTTCGAACCGCCAACCTTTGGGTTAGCAGCCGAGTGCTTTAACCACTGTGCCACCAGAGCTCCTTTCATTCATTATCAATCCCCGTGAAGATAGGAGCAGGGCGTGTGGGCCCACAATCTGATTTTCCCTCTCTGAAGACCTTTCTTGAGATGCTAAGTGACCAAATATGCCTTGTGGTTAAGGTGACCTTTGAAGCATTGTCACTTCTGATCTCATCCACCCTTTATTGTCGCCTTCCCACCCCAGTCTAGGCCGCGCTACAGCTGATTTCCAAAATGTGATCTCACCTTATTTAAAAATCATCTTCCTCAGCGTTTGACAACTTGTAGAATATATAGAGATTCCGGGTCTAAAGCTGCACCTGGGGTTTAGTTCTTCCAGTTGTGTTTTAAGCACTGGACTGCAGACTACAAGGTTGGCAGTTGGAAGCACTGAAGGGGAGAAAGATGAGGCTTTCTGGTCCTACAAAGATTTACAGCTTCAGAAGCCCTATACAGGGCCGCTCTGAGTCAGAGCCGACTCCACGACACTTAACAACAGCAGCGGTTTCGTCCTGTAGTCAAGTCCCCAGCCAAGTCTATTTCCTGGCTTGTTTCCTTCCTTTCTAGGATTAATTCACTCCTTCATCTTACAAATATTCTGCAGTTACGAGACACACCGAGAGCCACACAGAGGTACATGAGATCAGAGCATGGTGGTGAGGGTGGTAAGAGTGGCGTGCGTGTACAGGTTCTATGGGCATCTAGAAGCAAGAATGGCAAACTTCCTAGAGAAATAAGGGAGGCTTTCCAGAGGCTGTTAACAGTTAAGTAGGACCTGCAGGGGATGAGTAGGAGTTAGAGGTGATAGTTGGTAACCCCCCACTCAAGGCTGGTGGGTTTAGGGAGAGCTCTAGGATGAAGGTAAGGAACCTGGTGTGGGGCAAGTTGTATATTTCTGTGACCCCGGTGGTCAGGGCCCAACAGAAACTGACAGAGGTCCAGTTTGACGGTGGCGCTATCCTTAATCAGTAAGAATCAGTAAGGTGCTGACGGCTTCAGGTTTAAGTCCAACAGCCTAACAGCCCCAGGGGTCTTCTCTGGTGGGAGGAATTTCAGGCCTGACTGAAGCCTGTGCTTTTGACCTCTGCTTCTGTCTCCTCTTCACCCTGCCCCCTACCTCATAACCTTGCCCCTTTGACCTAGCTCCCCTAGTTACCGCCTCACACCTGCCCCGTAAACCATTTCTGTTTCAGACTCCACTTAGCTGAGTGACTGAAGGGTTTGCAAAGCTTTGCACACCCCTTGTGGTCTTGTGGTCACAAAACATTTTCCCAGAACGGCTGCTCCCACCACGCTACATGTGGCATCTGTCTGGTGGCTACCTCCAGGGCAGGGTTTCTACTTCCAGTGTGGCTTCATATCAGTGAGCTCAAGTCTGAGCTAGCTCCCCTTTGTATGGTCAGGAAGGGAAAGAGTGTAAAGAAATTGACGTCTTTCCTTGTCAGTCCTGCCTGTGGGATCAATGAAGGGGTGGGGGTGGGGGACTGCTGCTTGTATTCCCTCACCCTCATCCTCCCCCTAAAAAACATCCCGGGTAAGTCTAGTCAGAACACGCTTCCCCCTGGCCCAAGGCTGGGTAGAGGTCTGGCTTTTCTGGTCTCTCAGGACTAGACGTGAAAGTATTTCTTCTTTTTCCCTCAGGCCCTCCCTTCCTTCCCTTCCTCAAGATCCCCATGACTGTGTCCTTGCCTCTCCTCAAGATTGCTTGTGTTGATTGTCACTAGTAGTCATGGCCAGCACTGGGACCCTCCCATTTCTGCCATCCTGGTTGCCTGGTAAAGGATCATCCCCCCTTGCCTGTTTTTGGCTTCTCTTGTGCTAGGGAGTTTCTGAACTCGTGGTGGTACTCTACTTCGCTAGTTAGCAATGAGCTACCAGGGTTCTCCGCCTCTTTGTTGATGGGCTTGGTTAGGATGGCTGGCGAGGCGGCAGCTGACTTCTTCAGGGACTGTTCGTTGGTCCAGAGGAGGTAAACCCGAGCGCATCCACTTCCTCCAGAGGTGCAGAACATTCCAGTGTTTTGTCCCCATTGGGGAACATGATGTAGCTTTTTACGTAGGGCTTTCTTCTGTAACCCACTCACAGCCACTGTCCCTGCCCCATCTTCCCTTGGGCAGAGGACAGAACGTTTTCACATAAAACCCAACTTTCAGTGGGTGTTGGTCCTCTCTTCAACGTCATCTACCCCATCTGACCCAACAGCCTTTTGTGGTCCTGGTGTGCTATTTTCTCAGTCTTAATTGAGATTTGGAGAAAACTGTGAGCAGGTAGGAGTGTGGTTGCTGTTTTTTCCTTTGGGGACCAGCTCTCGGATCTTGGAACCCTTCCATCTGGGGTGTGCCAACCTGAACTTAGAATCCTTGGTCTTGAGGGTCTTCCTTTAGGATGGAAGTGAATGTTGTGGTTGCTGGGGTGCTGAGAGGAGACTGTGGGGGTGGCAGGAGATGGAACTTACGCAAGAGCACAAGGGCAAAAGACAGGGTACTGGCCTGGAACTGGGCACCATACTAATAAAGGGAACATGTACGCTGCCGAGAAGGAAGGCGCACCCTCAAAATTCTTCTCAGCACCCAGTGACCTAGTGGCCACACATCAGTATTATGACACGTGCTAATAAGTGTCGTCTTCTCTAAGCTCACTCATCAGGTGTACAATTCAGATGTAGGAGTTAAAACACAGTGAGGGTAGGTGTTTGTAGTAGACAAGGATTGCCCATACGGCACCTTCAGTCAGCCTTCCTGAGCATCCTGAAGGATACCTTGATGGATAAGCTCTGGGAGAAGGACTGGCTGCTTGGCCCTCCTCCCCAGTCCTGGTGAGAGCCCTAGAATATAGGAGAAGCAGCCACTTGAGGAGAATCTAGCTAGAACAGTGGCTTTGCAGGGACTAGCATACCTGGGCACAGAAGCCCTAGCTTGCAACCTGAAAAGCCCCTCCCCCTCAATTCTTGATAGTTTCCCACAAGCCAGCAAGGGAGGGTTCTAGGGGAACCCAGGCAAGCAGAAGGCATAGGGAAGCAGGTGGTGGCGGCCTCACGTTCCATCTCGGCTTGTGTCTCCCTACTAGAAGAGCGCCTCTTTCTGATGAGGAGTCCACGACAGGTGACTGCCAGCACTTTGGATCTCAGGAGTTTTGTGTCAGCAGCAGTTTTTCCAAGGTAAGGGGCCATGTGCTGTCACATGCTGCTTGCCAAAGGGTGGGGCTCAGCTGCCTGGATGACTCCCCAACCTGCCATCCCAGAAGAAGGATGGGAAGGGCCAGGGCATTACTTGGGCGTCTCTGTAGGCGGAAGAGAAATTGGCTGGCTGCCGAGACCTGGTGGGCGGACTTGCAGAGAGGTCCAACAGTGATCTCTCAGGAACCGGGGGACATTTGCACTATCCACGCAGCTAAGATGTGCTTGTGGCTCTGCCATTGCAGGTGGAGCTCACAGCAGTTGGTGGTGGCAGCAATGCCCGAGGGGCAGACCCAGATGGCGGTGCGACAGAAAAACTTGGGCACAAGTCTGAGGAAAAGTCTGATGACCCCGAGCCAAAAATGGACTATGCTGGGAATGTGGCTGCGGCCGAGGGCCTCTTGGTGCCACTGAGCAACTCAGGGGACGGTCTCAGGCTCCCCCCTCCTGACAGTGCCGAGGCTGGCAACAACAGGGCCGACTGTTGCTGGACACCCATCAGCACCCAAATGAGCAAGCAGGCTGACTGCTCGGCAGCCGGGGGAAAGCCTCTGGACTCCCAGCACAGTGTTGGGGAGAAGAATACTTTCATTTTGGCAACTCTGGGAACAGGAGTCCCTGTGGAAGGGACCTTGCCTCTGGTCACCACTAACTTTAGCCCACTGCCAGCCCCCATCTGCCCTCCTGCTCCTGGCTCAGCTTCAGCCCCCCCATCTGTTCCGGATCCATTCCAGGTTCCCCTCTCTGTCCCTGCCCCAGTATCCCATTCTGGGCTAGTTCCTGTGCAAGTTACCACTTCCATTCCAGCCCCTTCTCCTCCCTTGGCGCCAGTTCCAGCTCTGGCCCCTGCCCCACCATCAGTGCCCACGCTTATCTCGGATTCAAACCCCCTTTCAGTTTCTGCTTCAGTCTTGGTGCCCGTGCCAGCGTCTGCTCCCCCCTCGGGCCCCGTGGCCCTCTCGGCTCCAGCCCCTGCCCCACTCTCTGTCCCTGTCTCAGCTCCGCCGTTGGCTCTGATCCAGGCTCCTGTGCCCCCTTCAGCTCCAACCTTGGTCCTGGCTCCTGTCCCCACTCCAGTTCTGGCTCCCATGCCGGCATCCACGCCTCCAGCAGCACCTCCCCCTCCGTCTGTGCCGATGCCCACTCCAACCCCATCTTCCGGCCCCCCCTCGACTCCCACCCTCATCCCTGCCTTTGCCCCTACCCCGGTACCTGCACCCACCCCGGCCCCCATCTTTACTCCAGCCCCTACGCCCATGCCGGCTGCCACACCGACGGTCATTCCCACCTCTGCTCCGATCCCGGCCTCCTTTAGTCTGAGTCGAGTGTGTTTTCCTGCAGCTCAGGCACCAGCTATGCAAAAAGTGCCCCTGTCCTTTCAGCCAGGGACAGTGCTGACTCCGAGCCAGCCGCTGGTCTACATCCCACCTCCAAGCTGTGGGCAGCCACTCAGTGTGGCCACACTGCCAACTACCCTGGGAGTCTCCTCCACTCTGACCCTCCCTGTCCTGCCATCCTACCTGCAGGACAGGTGTCTCCCTGGCGTGCTGGCCTCCTCAGAGCTCCGGTCTTACCCATATGCATTCTCGGTGGCCCGGCCTCTGACTTCAGATTCCAAGCTGGTATCTCTGGAGGTGAACAGGCTCCCCTGCGCTTCCCCATCCGGCGGCAGCAGCAGCACCCAGACTGCACCCGATGGGGTCCCCGGGCCTTTGGCAGATACTTCCCTCTCCACCGCTTCTGCCAAGGTGCTTCCAACTCCACAGTCTCTGATGCCAGCTCCCAGCGTGAGCTCAGCCCCACCGCACCCCGCCAAGATGCCAGGTGGCACTGAGCAGCAAACAGAAGGGACTTCCGTTACCTTCTCTCCCCTCAAGTCACCTCCACAACTGGAGCGAGAGATGGCCTCTCCCCCTGAGTGCAGTGAGATGCCCCTTGATCTTTCCTCCAAGTCCAACCGCCAGAAGCTTCCATTGCCGAATCAGCGCAAGACACCGCCCATGCCAGTGTTGACCCCAGTGCATACCAGCAGCAAAGCTCTCCTCTCCACGGTCCTGTCTAGGTCTCAGCGCACGACCCAGGCTGCTGGCAGCGGTGTCACCTCGTGCCTGGGCTCCACATCCTCGCCCTTTGTCATCTTCCCCGAGATCGTAAGGAACGGGGACCCGAGCACATGGGTGAAGAACTCAACTGCGCTGATCAGTGCCATTCCTGGCACCTATGTGGGGGTCGCCAACCCAGTGCCTGCCTCCCTGCTACTGAACAAAGACCCCAACCTGGGCCTCAACCGAGATGCCCGCCATCTTCCCAAGCAGGAGCCTATATCCATCATTGATCAAGGAGAGCCCAAGAACACTGGTGCCACCTGCAGCAAGAAGGGCGGCCAAGCGGGTGCTGAGGGACAGCCAAGCATAGTCAAACGTTATCCCCCAGCCCGCATAGCCCCTGGGCTGCCTGGGTGCCAAACCAAGGAGCTCTCTTTGTGGAAACCCACAGGGCAGGCAAATATTTATCCACGTTGTTCCGTCAATGGGAAACCCACCAGCACCCAGGTCCTGCCTGTTGGCTGGTCACCATATCACCAAACATCTCTGCTTTCCATTGGCATTTCCAGTGCTGGGCAACTGACCCCCAATCAGGGGGTCCCCATCAGGCCCACCAACGTGGTTTCTGAGTTTTCTGGTGTGTCGTCTCTCAGCTCCAATGAAGCGGTGCATGGACTTCCTGAGGGGCAGGACACTGTCACAAAGAACAAAACTTGCCGGATTGCTGCCAAGCCTTATGAAGAACAAGTCAACCCTGTCCTCCTGACTCTCAGCCCTCAAACGGGGACCTTGGCCCTGTCTGTTCAGCCAAGTGGTGGGGACGTGAGAGTGAATCAGGGGCCTGACGATTCAGAGAACCATCTCTGCTCTGACAGCACTTCCAAGATGGAAAGCCCCCCAGGGGCTTGTGGCCTGAAACTGGCTGGAGACACGAAACCCAAGAACCAAGTTCTGGCCACGTACATGTCCCATGAGCTGGTCCTAGCCACTCCCCAGAACCTGCGCAAGATGCCCGAGCTGCCTTTGCTACCTCATGACAACCACCCCAAGGAACTCATCTTGGATGTGGTTTCGAGCGGCAAGAGGGGCTCCAGCACTGAGCTTTCACAGCTTGGAAGCCAGGTGGATCTGGGGCGGGTGAAAATGGAGAAAGTGGATGGTGATGTCGTCTTCAACTTAGCCACCTGCTTCCGGGCAGATGGTCTTCCTGCATCTACCCCGAGGGTCCAAGCTGAGGTGAGGGGCAAGGCCGGACAGGCGCGAGTGAAACAGGAGAGCCTCGGGGTCTTCACTTGCAAGAACAAGTGGCAGTCAGACGACATGACTGAATCTCTGCCACCCAAGAAACTGAAGGAAAGTGAGGAGCAGCAGCAGCAGCCACCACAACCCAAGCCCTTAGTCCGGAGTTCCCATGGACCCAAGGTGAGTGCTGTGATGCGGTGGAGGGCTGGTTAGAGACACTTGCTCTTCTCATTGGTTCCACAGACATCGACCTTGCTTTTCACTGTGAACGTTCTTGATGGCTTCTGGGAACTGAACGTAGTGAATGGCAAGTTTTTGTAAAGTGGAGAAGGAGCAGCCATCCCCTGCCGAATTCCCATTCTCCATATAAACCAGGAAAGGGAGGGCTCACTTGAATTTTGTAGGATGTGGAAATGGACTTGGTGCTGAGGCTAAGGAGTCCAGTGTCCCAGATGAGGCTGGAAAGCAGAAGAAGGTGGTGGTGAGGGAAATAAAGAACTGGCCCTTCCCTGAATAATGGTTCTTTCTTATCCTTGACCGAGACAACTGCTGACCTAAAGAACTTGGGGCCCCGTGAGGGAAAAGGCCTTGGGCAGGGTTGTTCCCTGCACCATTGGGAAAACGTGCTTAGGATTTGCTTTGAGCCTTGAGGGACAGGAGCCAATTTGGTTTCGGGGCTAATCCACCAGTTTCCTATCCACCTAACACTTAGGGTGGCAGCTTTGGGTTCTGGGCCATTGGGACTTTCATATGAAAGGCAGGTGGGCACCTGGCTCTACCTGTTTATTTACTTGTTTGCTTACTTGTCTGTGCTTGTGGTAAAATGTCTGTAACCAAAATGTGTCCGTTTGAATTGACAACAACAACTTGAAAGATTAGATAGGAGGCTTAGAGGGCAATGAGTTTGTGTTAATTGGGGAGGAACAGCTCAGGAAAGGGGGAGGAGAATGAATAGTTGCACAACTTGACGAATGCTACATGTGTCACTGTATGCTACATGTAGAAATGTTATGTTCTGCTGTGCATCTTCTCAGCAGCTGCAACAAAAAAAACAAGTATGTTTTAAATGGTCATTTGAACTATTTTTAAATGTATAAATCAGTGACATTAATCACATTCCCCATACGGACCAGCTGTCACCACTATACATTTCTAAAAATTTTCACGTCAAAAATTTTATTTATCTTGTTGTTGAGAATATACACAGCAAAAATACACCAGTCAAGTGTCTGACATGTACAAATCGGTGTCATTGATGTACAACCAGACTCCCCCTCCCCATTACCACGCACTCATTGGCCCCTCAGGTTCCCATCTAATCTTAAATGTGGCTGTTTCCAAAAGTTTTTCGTCAGTCCATAAAGCAGTAACTCCTCTTCCCCCTCTTCCCCAGTCACCTGGTAGCCACTATCAAACTTTAAGAAAAAACTCTATTGTGATTAAAAATAAATAAATAAAACCTTTATTATTTCAGCCCCTCCCCCCCCCCCCCCCCCCCCCCCCCCCCCCCCCCCCCCCACACACACACACCTGTTCAGTTTAGTGACATGGGTCTTGATTCTTTTAGGGAGTTTCAGGTCAAAGGTGGGCCAGAAGGACTAGATTGGAATCCAGTGGTTTTTCAGAGGGTTTGCTCATGACGACCACTGGTGATCCAAGGAGACTCTTTAAACACTCGAAGATAGGGCTTCTTCAAAATATTTGAAGTTATGTTAGCATGCCTTCAAGCAGGAGACTGATAAACTCCAATGAGCAGATTTCTAGCCAGAGAGCCATGGGTTGGTTTGTGGCAGAAATTCTTGATTGTTCTTAGAACCATAGGTCCCTTTTAGAAGCTACTGAGAGTTATGAACTCTCTCCCCAGAAAAACAACCTCAGAATTTTACCAATACTTTCAGGAGGTACATGGACCCATCCCCTACCCAAAGCTCATCCATGGATTCCAGGTTCAGAATTCCTGGGATCGAATGTGGGTGGGTTTTATTCAACCTTTCAACTATTGCTGTATGTCAGAGACATGCAAAGTAGAAACCGAGGTCATGGCATAAGAGATCACAGCATTTGGTCAGATAACTTAAGCAATCTGTCCTTGGTGGTAATACAACTAATAATTAATGTGATTAATGTTGTTACCATTTGCTGAACTCCTGCTATAGACCAAGTGCTTTTATTTTAATGATGGCAAAACATCCATGAGGTCCTGGTGTGGCACTGTAGGATAAGCACTGGACTGCTAACCACAAGGTTGGTGGTTCAAACCCACCAGCTACTCCTCAAGACCCTGTAAAGGGTCACTAAGAGTCAGAATCAACTTGACAGCACTTAACAACAACAACAACAAAACAATAAAAATATCCATAACAAAACATTTGCCTTTTGAACTATTTTTAAGTCAGTGACATTGATTCTGTTCCCCATGTTGTGTGACCATTGCCCCTGTCTGTTTCCAGATGTTTTTCATCTTCCTAAACTCAAACTCTGAGCCCCTTAAGTAATAACTCCCAGTCCCTGGTAGTCCCTAATAAACACTATCACTATGCATTTTGGTTCTACTTAATTTCATCTGAGTGGAATCATACAATACTTGCCCTTTGGTGAGTGACTTTTTCACTAGACAGAAAGTTTTCAAGGTTCATCCTGTCATAATACATATTAGAACATCATTTCTCTTTATAGATAAGTAATATTTCATCGTATCTGTATACCGTATTTAATGTCCCCATTCTTCTGTTGATGGGTATCTAGATTGTTCCCATCTTTCGCGGCAATGAATATTACTCTCTGCTTTTAAGTCTTTGGGGTCTATGCCTGGAATCCCTGGGTGGCACAAATGGTTAAACACTCGAGTACCAAAGATTGGTGACTCAAGCCCACACAGAGGAAGAAAAGTCTGGTGATCTGCTTCCAAAAAGTCACAGCCTTGAAACCTTAGGGAGTGTAGTTCTACTCCTACTGCATGTGAATTTGCCATGACTTAGAATCAATCAACTCAGCAGCAACTGGATTGGTATTTTTTTTTTTTAATGGGGGGTATAGTATTAGGGGAGTTCTGGTGTGGTGCTATGGGATAATGCACTGGACCACAAGGTCGGTTTGAACTGCAAGGTCGATGGTTTCAATTCACCAGCTGCTCCTCAGAAACAGGATCGCTACGATTTGGAACAGACTCAATGGCATTTAACAACAACAACAGATTCCTAGGAATTATCCCAAGTGCTTTTTGCATACAGCATCTTAATGTATTCTTTATAATAACCTCATGAGGTAAATGCTGCTCCTACTTAACCCGACAAAACCTAACAAAACCAAGGAAACAGCATTGGCGTGCTCACATTCTTCTTCAGCTGTGCTGCACTGTCTTCCATTGTGGTACAGTGTACGGGTGACCAGTGTGTTCTCTACAGCCAGGCAGATGGCCTGAGTTTCATTCCTGGCCCCACGGCTTCCTAGCTGTGTAACATTGGTCAAGTTCCTTAATGTCTCTGACCCTCAGTTTCCTCATCTGTAAAATGAGGCAACAAGAGTACCTATTAATTGGTTGGTTATGAAGATTACATGGAATGATTTAAGATGCACCAAAATGTTGTTGTTGTTAAGTGCCGTAGAATCAGTTCCGACCCATAGCGACCCTGTATAGGGTTTCTGAGGAGTGGATGGTGAGCTTGAACCACCGATCTTGCGGTTCAAACTGATGGTGCATTAACCCACAGCGCCACACCAGGACTCGCAAATAGGCAAACCTATGTATACAGAAAAGTTACTTCATGGTTGTCTTGGGCTGGGGAGGATGGGAGAGTTACTGCTGATGGAGATGGGTTTCTTTTGGGGGTGCTGGGATGGTCTGGAATTTGTGACGATGAATGTACAATTCTGTGAATACACTAAAAGGACTGAGTTGTATACTAACATAAGTGATTTATCTGACATCTGTCAGTAAATTAGATCTCAGTAAAGCTACTATTAAAAATAAAGATTACCTGAGATTGTATGATGGTACATCAAAAAGTATTGCTACTAGGGTTTCAGTTCATGTATATACGGATTGATTCCAAACAAAGCATGTCTGAACAAGTCTCTGTAATTAATGGATAGCTGTATACAAGTCTCATCAGGATTCCTTCCAAATGAAAAAAAAAAAAAAAGAGAGAGAGAGATTTTTGTGTGTGTGTGCCATGGAAAAACGTGTTTTTGTGGTCAGCAAAACTCAAGTGGACATCTTCCCAAATCACTGAAGCTTTGCAACAAGTTTAAGGGAATGCTGCTCCACATAAAACAATAGCTTTTCATTGGATTCAGTGTTTTAAGGAAAGTCAGGAAGACCTCAAAGATAAACCAAGAGACGGAAGACTGTCAGCCTTAACAAATGAAGAAACTGTGGCTGAGGTCCAGAAACTGGTAGAGGAAGACTATAGAATGAGTTACCATTGATGCGTTAGCTCCTGAAGTTGGGACCTCACATCGTTTGCTGTTTTCAAGTTTAAGTGAACATCTTGGCCTCAGAAAGCTTTTGACTCTTTGAGCGCTAAAAGCATTGCATGAAGATCAGCTAGCTCTCTAAGAGCTGATCTGTCCATCCGTCTTTTAAGCAAGAGCAAAACTAACGAAGACTGTTTTTATGGAACAAATCCTAACCAAATAAATCTTGGATTTACTAATATGAACCAGAGAGAAAAGTCCAATCAAAGTGATAACTTCCGAGGGGATCTGTTGGGTCAGTTCAATTCGAGGCAGAGAAGTCAGCTCAGAAAGTTATGGGGACTGATTTTTGGGATTCCAAAGAGCTCATCTGGATAGATTTTCTTGAAGGACACAGGATGATCACAGGGACTTAGGAAGAAGTTTTAAGAAGATGGGAAACGACATTGGTGAGAAAAAAGCCAGGAAAGTTGTGCCAAGGAATTTTCCCCCTCACAACAGTATACCTGTGCCCTCTGGCACGGTGGCAAGGGCTGTCCTACCAGGATGTCATTTGAAAACTTTATTCTAGTCATGATCTTGCCTCTTCACACTTCTTTGTATTCCCTAAACTCAAAGAACATTGAAAAGGAACATAGTTTGAGTCCCTCGAAGATGCCACAGTTGCCATTTTGACCTGGTGTTAAATGGAAAAACACAGACTTCTTCAGGGAAGGGTTGGCAAGTGAGAAACATCTCATTCAGAGGTGGATAGACCTAGATGGAGGAAATGTCAAGAAACAATAGCTCCACATTTTGATATTTTTGTTTTAGAAAGATTGCTCTGATTTTGCTGCAATACTTTTTAACTTACCCATGTGTATGTTCGTGCTTTTGAATTCCTGGTGTGGTGCTGTGGGATAAGGTGCTGGACCGCATGGTCGGTGGTGCAAATTCACCAGCTGCTCCTCAGAAACCGTATACAGGGCTGCTATGAGTCGGAACCGACTCTAAGGTGCTTAAAAACAGCAGCAACGACATGCTCATGCTTAGAACAGTGCTCAGTGCTAGCAGATGCTATTATTACAGACCAAACAGACGTGTCCCCTGGCCTCATGGAGCGTATGTCCGGGGATGCCGCAGTGACAGGTAGGCCTGGGCAGATGAACAGCTGTAGAGGGTGAGGAGTTACAGGACCTTGAAACACTTCTCAGTAAGTGCCTGTTGTTGTTATGTGCCGTGGAGTCGGTTCCGACTCATAGCGACCCTGTATAGGGTTTCCGAGGCTGTCAATCTTTATGGGAGCAGAAAGCCTCATCCTTCTCTCACGGAACAGCTGGTAGTTTCGAACTGCTGACCGTGAGATTAGCAGCCTGATTCGTAACCACTACGCTACCAGAGCTAGTGCCTATGGTATACTAAATGTGCATGTTTCGGGAGAGCAAACCTCTTGTCTCGTGTCCCATTTTCTTGAGGAAGAAACCATTGACAAGAGACCTAAGAAGCACCCAAACCCCCAAAACAAAACAAAAAGCTAGCTGCAATCAGGTTGACACTGACTCATGTGTGTCAGGAACAGACTGTGAGGTCTTCCTTCCCTGACCCTTCTTGGTGGATTCAAGCCTCCACCCTTTTGGCTAGCAGCCATGCTTGTTAACCATTTGCACCTCCCAAGGATTCCAAAAGTAAGAGTTTGTTCTAAACAGCCACTTCAGCCTATGGCGACCCTGCATAGGGTTTCTAAGGAGCAGTTGGTGGGCTCAAACCACCGACCCCATGGTCAGAAGGACCTGGCCAAGCAATGATGCAGTCGCATACCTCCTCAAACCACGTGCTCTGAGGCCTTGTGGAATCCTAAATGGTCAAAAGAATCACCAGCAAAGATAACTTTTCTGCTTCACCTGGTACTGGGTGTATTTTATTGTTGTCTCCTCTCTTAGAAATTTCAATGGAAGGTATTTTATAACTCTGTTAACCAGAACATTTCATCCGTCCTCCCAACTTTGGATATTACTTGGAGCTCACAGTACCTTGGAAATACTGTGGATTCAGTTCTAGACCACTACAGTAAAGTAAATATCACAATGAAGCGAGTCGCACAAAATGTTTGCTTTGCCAGTGCTTTATAAAAGTTATGTATACATTATACCGAAGCTTATTAAAGGAGCCCTGGTAGCGACATGGGCTAAGCATTGGACTCCTAACCAGAAGGTTGGCGATTCAAACCCACCAGCCACTCTTTAGGAGAAAGATGAGGCTGTCTGCTCCCATAAAGATTTAGTCTTAGGAACCCTGTGGGGCAGTTCTACTCGGCCCTACGTGGCATCGCTGTGAGTTGGAATCTGCTCGATGGCAGGCTGGGTTGATAGTCTATTAAGTGTGCAATAGCATTATGAAAAGTCTGAAACATTGTGAGAGTCACAAAACTCAGTCCATGCTGCTGCAAAACTGGCACCTATGGACTTGCTTGGTGGAAGGCTACCACCAACCGTCAATTTATAAAAATGCCCTATCTGCGAAGCGCAATAAAGCAAAGTATAAGAAGATGAGCTATGTCTGTATATTTTTACTTCCAGGGCTATCATTGCAGAAAAAAAAACTGACCGAAACCCCGTCTAGGTGTTCGGTTTTACTTGTTTTTGCCTGCCTCGAGAAGTAAAATTTAACGATGTGTACTTGAAAGAGTCCACTAAAAGTGATATTTAGAAATAAATAGGACATGTTCAAATTTATTTGCACTTAACTTTATTCCCCCTGACTTACAATAGTTTCTGTCCGGCCAGATCTGAAGGTCAGATTTGCAGCAGCAGTTTCCCACCTTTCTTTCCTCACCAGTTCTTTCTTTCTCTGAACACTTTTGTTCGTAGGAGCTAGCAGCTAGCAAAGCTCAAATTGAATTTTCAGCTCAGCCCTCTGCTGAATAAAAAGCAGGAGAAATTCATGAGATGGGAGCCCCCCTGGAACTGGCTGGGGAGTGGTGATTCCCTGTCTCCAGAGAATTGAGAACCCTTGCCCAGAAATGATTTCCTCAACAAGATATCTGCCATCCCCTTAGCTAGATAGTGAAGACCTTCTAGAAGGTGGGGTGTAGGTCAGCTCAGAAGAGAAACAACTTAACCAGGCTCAACTCTTCCTTTCCTCTTGTTTGGTGTGAAAACATTTTGTTCCCTAGACTATTGAACATGCCAACGTTGCCCTGTTTCTTGGGTAGCAGCACGGACACTGTTAGACTGGACTGGTAACTGCAAGGTCGGCAGTTCAAAGCCACCAGCCACTCCCAGAAACCCTATACAAGGTCAGTTTGAATCAACGGCACACAACAAGCAAACAGAAAAAGACTGAGAATGTTCCTGGCCGTGTGTGGGCTCAACTGTCATGCCTAGCAGACGCACCAGGCAGTAGGTGTGGGGGGGGGGGGCAGGAAAAAGAATGAGAGCTGATGTGAAGAGGCTGGGAGCCAGAAGCCTGGGTCTTAGTTCCAGCTCTGCCACTTTCTCTCTGTCAGAACAAATGAGTGAATGTCCAGGGTTGCTGGGAAGTGTAGTTCTTGAGCAGGGCCACGGTGTCTTGCCCTGAGCAAATCATGTACCTTCTTGTCCCTCATGGAGCCTCAGTTTCCTCATCTGTTAACTGGGGATGATATTACCAGTCCCAGACAAGTGACAAGTATCCCCCGCTTCTCAAAAGTTCTCTTTATACTACTTTGCTTTTACAAAAGACCTACATCAGTCCCTGTTTTGGTGTACCAAAAGAAATCTGAAGAGAATTTTTGCTTTTACTGAAGAAAGGCAAAAAGCCAAAGTAGAAATTAGCGTTCAGCAACGTGTTCCCGGAGTAGCGAGAGTGGTGCCGCCAACCGCCTTCCCCGGGAGCTACACTCAGCATCAGAGCACGAAGCTGCCGTAGCTTTGAACTATGTCCGCGAACACTATCTGTTAGTGGCGGTTTCCGTCTTAAGTGTTGTTTGGCATGATTGGGTAGATTATTTCTTTCTTGAAAAGGAGAACATTTAATAACCACCCCTCCTCAAAACAATAACAGCAAAACCCGGCAGCCAGCCTCCCTCTGCTTCCCAGTCAAGCATCTGAGCTCTGTCTTCTCTTTGTGCAAGCAGTGTGCCCAGATCCCTGGTCTTTGGACGACCTCAGTTCGTTTTGTTAGGCAAATCTTGAGAAATCCGGAGGTGGATGGATGAGCTGTCTGCCCCATATTTTAAGTGATTTATATGTAATAACTTAGTTGATTCTTAGATGGCTGTTTGATTTTTTAAAAGTTTAAATTTTTCCTTTTTATTGTTGTTATTCCTAAGTGCTGTTGAGTCACTTCCGTCTCCTGGCAACCCTGCATAGGGTGTCTAAGGAGCAGTTGGTGGGCTCAAACCACCAACCCCATGGTTAGCAGTCCAGTGCTTATCCTACAGTGCTATACCAGGACTCCTCTTTATTAGTGCAATTCAAAAATAACCGCCCCTACCATTCAGATATAAGTGCAGTGGCTCTGTATGGCAAGTACCGGAGTGCGAATCACCAGGTAGGCAGTCCAAGCTCACCAGTCACTTCTTGGGAGAAAGATGAGGTGTTTTTTTTTCGCTCCCTCGGAAAATTAAAACCTCATAAACCCTATATGGAGTCCTGGTGTGGCCCTGTGGGTTAATGCACTGAATTGCAAAGTTGGTTTGAACCACAAGGTTGGCAGTTCAAGCTCGCCAGCCGCTCCTTGGAAACCCTGTACAGGGTCATTGTGGGTCAGAGCCAACTGAAGGGCACTTAACAACAACAACAACAACAACAACAACGAACCCTATACAGGGTCTCTATGAGTCGGAATCAACATGACGACACTCAACAACCACCATTCGGATAAATAAAAACAACTACAGATTGAAAATTGCGTAGGTTTGAAAACAATTTGTAAAACAAATCTCAAGTTTGTCTATTATTATATTTATTTTTCCCTATTAATATTAAATGTTGTGCTATATAAACATTTAAAATGATTCGTTGAAAATGTTGATATGTGTTGAGCAAACATGTGACATAACTTATATTTTTAAGACACTATCAGATTAATGTTGCATCCCCAACCCACTGCCCTCAAGTTCATTCCAACTCCTGGGATTCCCATGTAGGTCATCTTCTTCCAGTGAAGTGGCTGGCAAGTTCTAACTGCCAACCTTTTGGTTGGTAGCTGGATGCTTTAGCCACTGTACCACCACAATTATTACACAATGATGCAATTATTGTGTAATTCTAATAATAAATTCTTTACTTTAAGTCATTTCGTTTCTTAGGCGTGCTCTACTTTCGGATAGCATGGTTTAATTTGAACTGTTTAATCACCCTACTTACACAATAGACATTTTTGTTCTATGCCCATCTTGCCATTGGTGTTTGGGTTAGGGTCCTGACAGTGCACCTTTAAAAATTATTTTGGGTGTTCCTTCGGCTTGTGAACACAGACTCTGTGAACTGTCTCAAGTAATGGGGTGCAGATACCCACGGAGACTTCCCAGGATACTGGATTCCATCTAAAACCTCCTCAGATGGCCCCTTCCCTGACCTAGGCCACAGATATCCGTGTGTCTTCCTCGGGCCCATGGCTCAACTTTAAAACAGATTTTTCTTCATTAGTGAAACTGACCTCGGGCCTATCTCTTTCTACTTCTCCACAGTGCCGAAAGCAGCCCAGTGACCCCCAGGAACCTACTAAGAAAAGTCCCCGGGGGGCTTCAGATTCAGGAAAAGAGCACAATGGAGTCAAGGTAAAGCACAAGCACCGGAAGCCAATGAAGCCAGAGTCCCAGTCTCCAGGAAAAGCAGCCGATGGTCACGAGGAAGGTAGGCCCCTGGCCCTGGTCTGCTGGGCTGGGCTGGAGAAGGACTGACTCGAAAACTGAGCCTTGCCTTCTTCACTCTTGAAGGCAGATATTACTGACACCTCTGAAGGCCCCGACCTGGGAGGAGGAAGTAGGGGCTTATCCTGTACACCCTGGGCACTGGGGAAAGGCATACTGTGCAAGTCCAAGGTGGTGGTTTTCAGCAAGACAAAAGACTAGTAAGCCCATTACCCTGCAACAGGTCTCGACTCAGAGAAAAAACAGATTTCAGGAGGTTTTGACAAAAACGGTAGAACAGGATTCCATTACATCTGGTGGTGCTGTGGGCTAGGTGTTGGGCGGCTAACTGCAAGGTCAGATGTTCAAATCCACCAGCCGCTCCATGGGAGAAAGATGAGGTTTTCTGCTCCCGTAAAGAGTAATCTCAGAAACCCTATATAGGGTCACTATGAGTCGGAATTGACTCAGTGGCAGTGGGTTTTTTTGCTTTTGTTTTTGTGTTGATGTACATGAAGCTCCCATAATTACAAGTTTAAAAAAAAAAAAAACGTAACTAGAAGGGTATAGAGACATTTGAAACCTTTATTATTATTCAGGGGTACACAGGCTGTTTGGTTTCAGGGCAGGGGTTGCTTCACCTGCGTGCTGTGCCACAAATTGTTCCTCGGCGCCTTCATCAGAGAGAGAAGCCCAAGCATTCTTGACCCCAGTCATCCATGTTCCTAGTCTTGCCCATTGGACAGGACTCGCTTCTTTCAGCCTGTTCTTCCAGAGCGCCTTTCCTCTGTTCACCCAGCCTTACTCTCATCTTCCTGCCTGGCTCCATGCTCTAAGATTCATTGAGGTTGCCCTTCTCTGGGAGCCGCTCCAGCTCAGTCATAACTTTGTTGAAGTACAGCTGCCTTCAAGTCAACATCAACCGGCCATTCAGCTTTCTGGCATGCTGTTGAATGATGATGCCCTTTTTGGTGTCAGCAAGACTGACCAAATGGTCAGTTTTCCCAAACCACCAGGAAATAGTCATTCGCTCAGAGAGATACAGATGTGAGAGCAGCGTAAGGGGAGCTGATGAATGTCCCCCAGGGTGAATGCAAACCCTCCTTGAGTTTTCCATCTGAAAAATCTTTCCAGGCTCTAGACTCTGATTGTGTGATTTCTGCCTTCTGTCCTGATACCCGACCCTCCCCCGCCCTCCTCCCAAATTACCCCAGGTTCCTTGGAAAAGAAAGCAAAGAGCAGTTTCCGGGACTTCATTCCTGTGGTCCTGAGCACCCGGACGCGCAGTCAGTCTGGTGAGTGAGTGTCCTCGGAGGCAATGACCCATCTTGGTGACGTCTCTGAAAAGAGAGGGAGAAGACTCGTTGGACAGTTTCACATTGACCTGAGTGGAGAGCTGGGAATTGGATTCACTGTGCCGAGATGCCAGGGATAATGGTGGGGTGGGCACTGTCTATGATTTTATGATCATCTGCCTGGCTTTTGGGGCCTCTGGGCAGTGTAAATGGTTTGCACTGAACTACTAACAGAAAGGCGGGTGGTTTGAGCCCACTCAGAGGCACGTCAGAAGTAAGGCCTGGTGATCTACTCCTAGGAATACTGCAGCCAGGAAAACCCTCCGGACCGCAGTTGTACTCTGACACACATAGGGTGGCCATGATTCAAAATTGACTCTATGGCAGCAGGTTTGGGGGCTTCACTTTCCAGAGCAGGGATTGGCCATCTCTTGTCAGGAGGAAGAAAGCATTGGGCCTCTCAGGAAAGCTGGCTGTACTCCAAGCTCTGCTGTCTGATAATTCTTAGGCCCAATCGCAGGCATAGGTGTTTAACCTTTGCGTTTGGGTCTGACTGCCCGATGTGGCAGATGTCATCAAAATTGCTAATGGCCATTGAGTCACCAGGGTTAGCGGAATCACGTCTGGTCCCTTGAATTTGTATTGGTCAGCCCCTGGTGTCTTGAAAACCCTAGCCTTTTGCAGTCACTGTTATCTTCCGCTAACCTCCATGTTGACACCAGGCCTGTTTGCCCTGGCTCACCCGGATTTCCATGCAAATTGGATGCACTGGGGCAGGAGAGTGCCATGTAAGCTCACTTATCTGACATTCGATTAACTGACACCTCAGCACATGGAGAGTGACGTGGTGATTGGGGCTCGTGATGATGGCTTGGAGGCCTCGAAAAATCTGAAAGTGTCCTCTGCATCATCAAAGAACGCTTACATTACAGCAAGTCCCATTTTTATGCTCAACACACTGGACTGCATTTGATTCTCCGGGAGTTGGTGATCTCAGTGGGATCTCTGTGGTGATTCCATATTAACCAGAATATTAGATTAACTGGAGCACTTTGTCCCCTGCCTGGTCTGTACGTAGGGAAGGGGACAGGATGACCAACTTGAAGCTTTGGTCTTTGGCTGCTCTGCCTCCAGCCATTTCTTTCTTTCTTCAGCTGACCTCACTTGAACGTGGGGGTTGTCAAGTTTATAACTGGACCTTGAGAGAAAGATGGTGGTATCTCAGAGCTGCTTTGGGGGACGGTGTCAGATGTTCTGGGGTGCTAACCCAGGCCCGTTTTGGATTGTGTTGTTGTTGGTGGTGTCAGTAGAGTTGAAGGAAAGAGTGGGTAGAGAAAATGGACTCTTGGCTAGGTGGTGTAGTAGGCCAGAAAGAGGTACCATTGGTACTGGGGCAGTCAGCATAGGCGAATGAAGTGCCTGCCCAGAGGTGATGGGGATGGTGCCAGGGAGAAAGCCCCACCCTTGAACTCTTAGCAACTCAATAGGAGGTGGGGTCAGTTTAAGGTAAAAGGCTCACTTGGACATGACCGAACAAGGCTGGGTCACAGGCGAGGGAATCTTTATTACTTAGCTTTGCCTGAGAGTCTTCATGGTGGTGATTCTGTTTGTCTTGGGAAGGTCTATCATCAAAATTGGGGCTGCCACGGAGTGAGCAGAGGCAGGGTGCAATGCCAATCTGCCTTCCCTCCTCCTCTATGAAATCCCGATTTCCCAAAGAACAGGGATCTTTGGCCCTCCCCTGCTCTTTGCACAATGTTTGGTGCCTTTTATGAGCACCAAGTAAGAGTTTGTAGACTGGACTATAGTGACATTGTACACGTGGATGAGGAAGGGCGTGTGTCCTTAACACTTGAACACGAGAGGGCTTCAGAAAGTGTGTGGACAAAGGGGAAGAAAAAATAATGGGATTCCTCACAAAGTTTTTGAAGCTTCCTCACTCTTCATAGTTGTCTAACATATCTGATTCTGTAAAGCATGCTCTCATTTGTGCCTCAAAACAGCCTGTTGGTTTTAGTAAGATAGGAAGCAGTATCCCTGTTTTATAGCTGAAGAAAAAAAAGTGAAGGAGTGTTCCAAATGCATACTAACTAGCAGAACTTGACCTTGAACCCGGACCTCCCAACGCCTAGTCCTGGATGCTGCTTCTAAACCATGCTCTTTTTTCCTTTGAAAGATGTGTCTGACCACCCTTTCTGTGCCATCCACAGGAAGTATCTGTAGCTCCTTTGCTGGCATGGCAGACGGTGACATGGGATGCCAGGAAGTCTTCCCCACAGAGGAGGAAGAGGAAGTGACCCCCACCCCAGCTAAGCGTCGAAAGGTGAGAAAGACTCAACGGGACACCCAGTATCGTAGCCACCACGCCCAGGACAAGACCCTGCTGAGCCAGGGCCGCAGGCATCTGTGGCGAGCCCGAGAAATGCCTTGGAGGACAGAGGCTGCCCGGCAAATGTGGGATACCAACGAGGAGGAGGAAGAAGATGAGGAGGAAGGCCTGGTGAAGAGGAAGAAACGGAGACGGCAGAAGAACCGAAAATATCAAACTGGGGAGTACCTGACTGAGCAAGAAGAAGAGCAACGGCGGAAAGGAAGAGCAGGTAAGTTTGGCTGAATCCCTTCCCCAAACCACAGCCAGCTCGGCTCCTGGGGACCCTTGGACGTCTTGGGGGTTCCCAGGAGCCCACTTCTGCCTACTCCACACCAGCAGAAGGTCTTTGGACCTGTAGAAATTTGGGACTGTGATCTCCAGCTGCCAGGGGTGGGTCACTCAAATCCAGCCGCAAGGTATTGGCTTTGGGTTGAGATTGAGTGAGTTCGGACTGGCCTACAGGGGTGCTGGGAGTCCTGGTGTGCCGCTGTAGGCTAATGCGTCAGACTGCAGTCATCTGAACTGCAAGGTTCAGACACTCACCATGCTGCTCCTTGGAAACCCTATACGGGGTTGCTATGGGTTGGGAGTTACTCGATGGCACTTAACAACAACAACTACAACAACAGGGGTGCCGAGGACATAAAGCTCAAGCCTTTCAATGTCTTCTCAAAGTGTGAACCTGTGGTCAGGGCCGCAGCGATGACCCCAGCATGGGCAACTCCATGCCAGGGAATTCTCTGGTTGATTTGAGGGAGTCGGGTCTTTTTGGAGGCCAGGTTCTCTCTCCTAGAATCTTGGGTTCAAGAAGAACGAGGGCATTGGCTACTATACTTGGGATACCTCCAGCCCCTTAAATGAAAAGAAGTACAGCGGTTGTCTCAAGTCAACAGAATAACTTCAAGTAGAAGCAGGGTCAATGTGGCTTTCTCAGTTGGTACCACAAAGGTTATTAAGTGGTGGAGTGAAGCTTTGAGGTGACCCAAAGTGGCATCATTTTTGTTGGGCCTGAGTTAGAAAGGGAGTCAGCCCAAAGAGCAAACAAGGCTTTCTGTGGCCGTGTCAGATGCTAGAGTATGTGATCTTGCCAGTACGGACTGTCACAGAGGCTAATCTCAGTACGTTTACTAAGTACTCTTCACGCCCAATCTGATAGTGGATTCTAAATGCACAAAAAGCACATCTCTGGGTTCTATGAGAACCCCTCTCTGGGGCCTCTGCCCTTGAAGCACCAATTGATTGTCTCTGATAATGGGATTCACCCTGATCTGCTGGTAAACATCTGTACCGTATTAAAGTGAAAATTGAATAACTTCATATTGAGTAGGTAGTGGATTCTGGTTTATCATAATCCAAAGAAAACTTAACCTCATTTCTAGCTCTGTTGGAGTGGTGATACCTATCCCTACATTCAAGGGAGTAATTGAGCCCATTTTCATCAGCTGTGTGAGAATGGGGACAATTTTCTCTTTATTCTGCCAGAGCCACAACTGATTAGTCAGGAATGAGTTGTCAAGGCATTGGCCTTAGTTCGCTTGTGTTGGGATGAAGAGGAGCTTTTATATCACCTTATCTTCTCTAATGGAGGCTGCTTTCCTAGCTTAGCAGCTTCCTAAGAATTTATCAGCTCTTGGAACTGGGAAGACTTTAGAAATTGCCTGGCCCAGTTTTCCACCCAGTTCCGAGATCTCCACAGCATTATTGGTTTAGAAGACTAGGTTTTGCTTCGACACCTCCAGTAACACTGAGAACATCACTTATCCAAGGCATTCTGGTTGATTTGGGGGCAGCTCCAGTTGTTGGAAAGTGGGTCATTTTCCCTCCGTGTGTGTCTAAGTGCTTGCGTTGAGGCAGCTGGCTTTGGCATATGGTCTGGTTGTCTTCCTCCAGATCTGAAGATGGCATTTTCATGAATGAATTGCCTAGCAAACATCTCTCTTCTCAGAAAGCTCCAATCCCTCCTACAACTACCTGTCTTTCAGGTTAATTTCAAAGAATCAAGCAAAGGCCAAGATAGGCAGGTCACCTCTCTGAACCTCATAACCTTTCCTTCTGTCCTGACCTTGGGTAGCTCCTTTCTTGACTTATAGAGGTGATAGGAAGACTTACTTCCACTTATACATCCCTACTCTTCCTTCTGTTCCTTGCCACTATAAATCCTTGCTCCTCCACAATTGAGGAATTGCAAGCTATAATATGGCTTTCCCATGTTTCCCAAAGTCCTCACAAAGCATGGTTGGTTATATTCCTTACTCTTTTACCTCAGTCCAGACTTGGTGCATCAAAACCCCTGGTTGAGAATATTCTGGCTGGAAGTACTGTTACTACTAGTGGGTCTGGTGTAGTTGGGAGAAAGGTGTGGCATTACAGCTGGCATTTTTTATAAGCATAGCCAATACCCTATACTGTCATGACAACTCCCACTTCACGATTTGCCTTCAGAAATGTCACATGTGAGACAGAAGCCAAGGCTGAGGGAGGTGAGTTGAGAACACTTGGATCTAGCTCTCCGCCCTCATTTCACAAGTTGGAGAAACTGAGGCTGTAATCACTTAGACTTCACAAACAACCATCTTTTGTTTTTCTTGGAATTTTGTTTATTTAGTTGTTGAGCAAAACAGATCAATTCAACAGTGTCTACCTATGGCTCTTAGTGATACTGATCACATTCTTTTGAGTTGTGCAACTATCCTTATCCTCCTTTTCTGAGTTGTTCTCTCATTAACACAAGCTCACTGCTCCCTAAGGGTCTTAGCTAATCTTTTAAGTTGCTGTCAATTTGATCCCATATAGATAGTTCTTAAAAGAGCACACTGCTTAAGGTAGGCCTTTTTTTTTTTTTTTTTTTTTTTTTAGTAATTAAGCTAAAATGTTGTCAAGTTTTAAAAGACTTCAGGGGCTATTTTTGGTTTAAGGTTTAAAGATGATCTCAGGGTAGTAGTTTCAGGGATTCGTCTACCCTCCATGGCTCCAGAAAAGCTAGAGTTCATGAGAATTTGAAATTCTGTTTTGCATTCCCCCCCCGCCTTTGATCAGGAGTTTTCTATGAAATCTTAGATCAAAATGTTCAGTAATGGTAACCAGCAGACATAATGATGTTTTGCCATGTGGTAGGCATGGGCATGGCCCGTAGTTAAGGAGTCTACACTTAAAATACAGTAATGTCTTACTTTATAAAATGGTCTTTCATGTAACCTGATTTAGTTCTCTGCCGGTCCTGTGATGTGGATTATATGAGGGTACTTCAAAAAAGCGTTTGGGAAAATTCCCTGATCTTTGTTGATAATCAGGGAGCTAACAATGATAAATGTATATGCATTTAACAACAGAGCTCTAAACTACATAAACCATAAAATGGCAGAATCAAAAGGGAAAATAAGCAAGTCAACAAAAATTATTGAAGTTCTCAGTACCCCCACTGTGGTAGTTAGAATTGTTGTTGTTGTTGGGAAGCGCTATTGAGTCTGTTCTGACCCATAGTGACCCTGTATGGGATTTACAAGGAGCACCTGGTGAGCTTGAACCAGCCTGCAGTTCAAATGGCTTTGCAGTGTGGCACATTAACCCACAGCGCCACACCAGGACTCCTTAAAGTTGTCCATGCCTGCATCCCTAAAACCTGTGAATATGTTACTTTTACCTCTATTCACTTTATTTTTTTAATGTTTTTTTTTACACTAACAAGCAAAAATATATATTCATTTAAATGTCCAAAGGGCACATTCTGTAAGCCAGCCTCCTGCCCGCAGGCACACAGCCTTTCTCAGTCCGTGGGCGTAGAGTCCTCAGCTGCTCTAGCTCTAGGCCACCGCCTCTGCCACCATTATTGTTTAATTCCATTTGTCCATGAACTCTTTTGAAGTCTGCTCATAGTCTCCATATTTTTCAGATATGGAAACTGGGGCTCCAAGAGATTATGACTTCCCTCTGGTCCTTCACACAGTTATTTAGAGGCCAATTCAGTCATCCTATGACACTGGTGTTAAAAGGAAAACACCACTTATTCCTCGTACACGTGGGGTTTATTATAGACCCCATGGAGTAAGGGTCTTGATAGTGGAATTCTCAGCAGGTCTTTTTGGAATTAGAATGTGCTTTGTTCAGTGGCTAGTTATAAATGTTGCCCTGTGTGTTCCAGCTGCACCGGTCACTTGATTTTCAACTGGGAATGCCTTAGGTTTCTGCCATTGACTTCCAGCTATAAGCAGATCCCTGGCACTTTCCAGTTTCAGAGAGTTCCTTTTGGCTTTGATGTTTGTGTCCCAGGAAAGCTGCGAAGAAGGCAGTCAGTTGGGCAGATCAGAGCCTGTAAAGGAAGCATTTATTCCTTACCCCAGTACACATTTCATTCTTCAGTAGATATTTCATTCTTCAGCAGAGCTGCTGAACTTGTCTTCATAGTAGAATGGTGAAGAGGCAAGGATAGGGATGGAAGAAATGCTGAAAACAAAGTTCTGATTGGCTTTGAGCTATTGGCAAGTCCTTTTCAAATGACCCTCTTGTTGGGGACACCTGGATGGGCTGCCCTCTGCTGGCAGGGCTGGGAGTTGTCTCGATACAGATAGTCACTGATGGTTGCACAACTTTGCACCAAGATTTTTAATCTCCAAGTCCTCTGATTCATCTTAAAAGAAGGCTCTGCTCTTCTGTGTTCCATGCTGCTGACTTCCATCCTTTCCTGTCTCATGCCTTCAGATTTAAAGGCCCGCAAGCAGAAGCCTTCCTCCCAAAGTTCGGAGCACCACCTCAGGAACAGGAACCTCCTCTTGCCCAACAAAGTCCAGGGGATCTCGGATTCACCAAATGGTTTCCTCCCAAATAACCTGGAGGAACCAGCCTGCCTTGAAAATTCAGAAAAGCCATCAGGAAAACGAAAGTGCAAGACCAAGCACATGGCAAACGTCTCAGAAGAGGCAAAGGTACAGCGGGGAGAGTTGTGGGAGAGGGGAGTGGTCTAGAGGAGGCAGGCTTCTCGCCAAGCTCCTCAATCAGTAATCCTCTGAGTAAGTGAGGGGTGGATGAGGGAGGAGCAAGTGAACTCATATGTATTCAAGTATTCAAAAGCAGTTCAGGAGCGGCCCTTGGTGGTTCAACAGTAGCATTCTCACCTTTCAGGTGAGAAACCCACTTTCAATTGCCACCAATGCCGTTCATGTGCACCTACCACCCCTGTCAGTGGAGGCGTGCATGTTGTTGCCGTGATGCCGGATAGGTGTCAGTGGCACTTCTGTACTAAGACTAGGAAGAAAGATCTGATGGTCTTGGTCTCCTTCCTAAACATCAGTCAGTGGCAACCCTGTCATTCACAGTGGTCTGATTCCAAACTGGGCAGCATTTCATTCTGCTGTGTTTGAGTGGGGATTGTCTCAAAGGCAGATAACAACATGAAAATTTTCTTTCTGGAAGGGTTGAGGGTGGCTTGGGGATGAGGATTTGAAGAATGGAAGTTAAATTTATAGCTGACAGTAAACTATAAGGTTTGGCCCAGGATGGTTTTTCCACTCGAAGAGTTAAAGAATATGGCAGGATGTCAGCCTGAATAGCTTGTTAACAGCCAATCAGGAAGCTTTTGTGCAGACTCAACTCACTGGAAACCAATCAGGGAACTTTCTGAGTCAATCAAGGTAGAAAGCTAGGGTACTGGTGTCCAGACAAAGGTTGTTTGTGGGTGGGATCAAAGGAATTCTACTTGGGCCTGGGCTAGAGCTCCCCTTGCCCACCCCTACTCCCCAGTGGCTTCTCAGGGAAGCAGAGAAGTGATTGGGTGGGCATTCAGAATCAAACATCTCCTTTGGGTCTGATGTCCACGATGTTGGTGTCAGCTTCTACACTGAAAATGGCACAGTCCTCATCCTGAAGGAACTTTACCTTCAAGAGAAGTGACTGTCTGTGTTCAGATGGATACCCATATTGGTTACTGGCAACCGGGGGGGGGGGGGGGGAAGACCACACTCGACTTGTTGGGGTGGTTTGCGATTCTTCCCTGCTTCCCATCCCAGAGCAGGGACCCCTGAGTGGCTCAGGGAAAAGGAGATTGAGACCCAGGTGCTTGTCTCCTGCTCCTTTCCCCTGCCCCTCCTAGAATCTCCTTCCAGCTCCAACTAGGTACTCAAGCCGATTTCCTCATCTGTAAGAATGGAGATGTACTCCTTGCTCCTTCTATTCCACAAGGGTCCTTGGGGGAACAAAGGAGGCAATGAATGTGCAAGGCACTGGTAACCATAAAGTGCTCTCGGAGAGCTACTGTGTACCCCTGTGCTGGAGGAGGTGGCCAGCCAAAGGAAATAGAGGCACTGAGTGGCAGCACGCTAGCAGGGTCCATGCCCTCTGACCCCACAACAAGGGCGCATTGCTTTTCCCCAGAGAGACAGGGGGACTGAGGGACGAGCAGGGCACTTTCGCCTGTGCCCAGGGCTTCATCCACATTGTAGCTCTCAGTTCCCACCATGGCTCCTTGAAGTAGGCACTGTGGTTGCCCTTATTTTATCATGAGGAAACTGAGGCTCAGGGAGGGCGAGGCACTTGTGCACGTTTGCTCAGTTGGGACAGGCCGCAGACTTGTTCTCCTCCGGAGCCTGGGCTCTTTCCATATGCCTCTTAGCTGTGGGATGGCTGGTGTCTGTCTGTTTTCTGGAGACACTGGGGGGCGGGCGGGAGGCCTTCAGGCAGGACCATTCTGCGGCCCCACACAAGGTGGGCTCCTCAGGCTTCTCCCTCCCCTGTCTTCTACTCCCCCTGCTCCTACCCAGACACTCAGCTGGCCCCGGCCCACACAAAGGTGACCAGCCGCCTGACGTTCAACAGCACACTCTGCTGATTCTGTCTAGTGGTTCTGCCTGGCAGTGTGTCCGCTGAAATGTTCCTCCCGGAGAGGTTTTGTCCCTTCACAGGGCCTCTCTTTCTTTCTCTTCCAGCCACCACCACCTGCTCTGGTTGCCCCCACGGTGCGTTGTAATGGGAAGCAAGGGGGTGGGGAGGAGAGGGGAACACTCCTGCAATGCTAAAGCTGGGGAACTGGCCAAAGGCTTCTTCCCACAGGGGCTCTGAGCCAGGGGGCAGGCAGACAGGGGGAGGGGGCCCCCACTTGGCTATTGCTCCTCCCCCTCTCAGACAGCCTCCCTGGCTGCTGTCTGGCAGCTCTGGCCCCCAGAGAGTTGCCTTTTGGCTGCTTAGGGGAAACCTGGGTGCTTTACCCAGCATTCTCCAGTACTGCCTCTATCTTCCTGGAAAGATCTCTGAGTGACGTGGCTCAGCTACTAACCTAAAGGGGTTTGACATTCAAACCTACCCAGTAGCACTGTGGAAGAAAGCTCTGGCCTTCTGCATCTGGAAAGATTGTTCTTGTTGTTAGGTGCCTTTGAGAATACTGCCCGGACCTGTACCAGCCTCACAATCATTGCTACACTTGAGCCCACTGCTGCTGCCACTGTGTCAATCCGTCTCCTTGGGGGGTCTTCCTCTTTTTTGTTGACCCTCCACTTTTTCCAAGCATGATTTCCTCTTCTAGGGAATGGTCGGTCCCTCCTGATAACATGTTTAAAGTACAAGAGATGGAGTGTCGCCATTCTGGCATGTAAGGAACATTCTGGCTGTACTTCTTCCAACCCAGATTTATTTGTTCTTCTGACAGGCCATGGTACTTTTCATATTCTTCTCCAATCTGTAAAGATCCCAGCCACTGAAAGTCCTGTGGAACTCAGTTCTAGTCTGTAACACATGTGCTTACCATGAGTCACAATCAACTTGCTTTGCTTTGATCTTTGGCGTCCTCCTGGAAATCCAGCTGCATTATCTAGTCAGAGTTGGTACCTTCCTACTTGGGACTGTGCTCTTTGTCATTCTGGGATGGGGAGAGGTAGTGGCTTCTCATTGTCTTGGGAATTACCAGAGGAAACAGATGCCCTGGCTCTTCATCTTTTCTCTGCTGCTCCTTTCCTGGCTTCATGTCTTTCTAGGCAACTTTTCTGGTTGACCAGGGCTCTGCACGTGGCTGCCTGGAATCAAGTCACCAAGTATTCATTGCAATACTGTGCCCAGCCCTGAGCTAAGTGGTCTAAAGAACAAAAGAGAAGATGGCAATATGATCCCTGCCCCCAAGGAGCCGAGAACCAAGCAGGGGAGGCAAGACTTACTCCTGAAACAGTGACAGGAAATGAAGATGTGAGGCAGCAAGTGACCGATTTGGCGGTTCCGACTGGACGCTCTGGGGAGGCAGAGGGCAGTGGGAGCCAGAGGGCTGTCGAGCACACAGGGCACCAGCGACACCTTGATACTCTGTGGGGTTGACATAAGTGGGATGCAGTCATTGTCCATTTCTGGATAAGAAATCATCCTACAACTTATCAGCTTAAGAGAGCTGTAAACATGTATTCTCTCATAGAGTTTCTGCCAGCCAGGAATTTAGAAGCACCTCGACTGCCTGGGTTTGGCTTGGGTTCTCTCATGAGGTTGGAGTCAAAATGTCAACTAGGGCTTCAGTCATCTGGAGACGTGAGTGGGGCTGACCGGGTCTTCCATCACACTCACATGGCTGGCAAGTTAATGCTGGTTGTTGGCAAGAGCCTCCCCCCACCACTTCCTGGCCTCATGGACCTCTTCAAAGGACTGCTTGAGTGTGGTCACCACATGGCAGCTTGCTTCCCCCAGAGCAAGTGACCCTAAAGAGAGCAAGGCAGAGCCCTGATGTCTCTCAGGACCTAGCCTTGGAATGCATGCTGCATCATTTCTGCAGCCACTTCCTGTTGGCTACATAGGTCAACTCTAGCCAATGTTGGAGGGGACTACACAGAAGCGTGAATACTAGGAGGTGGCACTCATCAGGGTCCATAGTCCACACTCATTGATTCATCTTCCACCCCAGTGATTCATATTCCTCCCACATGCAAAGTATACCCATGCCTCCCAACCCCCTCCCCACCACCAAAGTCTCATGCAATGACAACATCAATTCTCATCGTCCAAATGAGGTACAAGTACAGGTGAGGCGCCTTGGCCCTGGTTCCTTGAGTACAACAGTTCCTCAAGATCTGAAGACCTCTGAGACAAATCAGCCGCCCCCATCCAACCAATATACAATGCTGGCAAAGGCATAGGGACCCGCTGTAGACATTCCAGTTCTGGATGGAGGAGACAGAAAGGGGAGGGGGTGGCACATGGCGGCCACTCATGAGGAAAGGACTTGGCCATTTTTGAGCATCTACCTTGTGCATTGTTCTAAAGCCTTCCCAGTTCATGATCTCAAAGACTGGGAAGAAGGTGAGGGGCCGTGCCATTGCCTCAGGTCTTGTAGTCAGCGGATGGCAGAGGCAGGATCTCAGCCCAGCCTGATTCATGCACCGGAACTCTTTCTAGGTGGGATTGAGTATGATCTGAGAGCCTGATGTGGTGAAAGATGAGAAAAGCCGCATGAGATGGCTGGATGAGGGGAAAGGTTTTTGCAACAGGAGTGACTGACGGCTTTAGTAGCTGTGCTCTGGCCTCTTTAGTCAAAGATAGCCGTCTCCCTCTGCTTCTCTTTACTCAGAGTTTACTTCAGCTTATTTATAGATCGGACTTGTAAAAACCTCAACAAATGGGGTCTGAGGCAGATAAAGAAGGCATGCGGAGTGCTTGGGGGGAAGCTGAGATGGCTGCCCAGTCTCTGATGTCCAATTCTTTCCCCATTCTTGCTTTAATGGAGTTGAGGATTTGATCATCTACGCATTTCCCACTGGGTGGAGTGCACTTCCCGGAAATAGTCCAAATGGCTAGTGACGGATGTGGAGTCCTGGTGTAGCACTGTAGGATAAGCACTGGACTGCTGAACGTTCACAAGGAAACCCTATGCAGGGTCGGTATAAGTGCTGCACTTAACAACAACAAAGTGACTGGTCCATTTTCTAGCCTCCAAGCAGACTGTGGTTTGGACCATCGGGGGCGTTGCATTTAAAGCCCGAGATGGACGTAGATGAGTGGAGATAGCCTGGGCAGCTAGGTGGAGTGGCCGCGATGGGATCGGTCACCTGGTCTAACTCAACACTGCATTTCTGCTCCACAGGGCAAAGGTCGCTGGAGCCAGCAGAAGACCCGCTCTCCCAAATCTCCCACCTCAGTGAAGCCCACAGAGCCGTGTACACCCTCTAAGTCCCGAAGTGCTGGCCTAGAGGAGGCGGAGTCACCGACCGCCCGGCAGATTCCCCCAGAGGCTCGCAGGCTCATCGTGAACAAAAATGCTGGCGAGACTCTCTTACAGCGGGCAGCTCGTCTTGGTTATAAGGTGAGGGAGTTGTTCCCGCCTGTGATGGCCTAGCTAGGGTTTTGTTTGGGGCTGGAGCCCAGGCTGGCCTCCCTCAATGTCCAGATGGCCCCTGAGGCTGTCTTTCCCCTTGTCCAATTGGATTGGTGTATGGGAATGCAAGCTCATTTGAATGTTAGTGTGAGATGAACGTAATTGTCACGGTAATGCAATATCACCCAGTGCATTCTTAGGCCAGAAACGGGATTTTGGGATTTTTCATGTTGTCTTGAATTTCCTGAGCTGTGCCGCCTTCCCCACCCCCTCAAGGCTCCCCACATCTAGGCTTTCTGTAGTAGAGGGGTCAGAAGTCAGTTTGAGAAGCAGGGCTGAGCTAAGCACTTTATACCCCTATGCCTCTGAAATGGAAAGGAGGCAGGAAGGGAGGGAAACTGAGGTTTCTTGAGACTTCTTTTGTCATGTTAAGAGATTTGTTTACTTAATATCATTTACTCTTCACAGTTTAGCTCAAGGATCTGGAGGTAGGTTTTCTCATCCCCATCTTGCAGGTGAGAAAGTCAGGGCTCAGCAATGGTATATGATTTGTCCAAGATCACCCAACTAGAATGTGGAAATACGCATGCATACACACACCAGGGGACTTCAAAAAGTTCGTGGAAAATGGAATAAAAAGCTAATGAATTTTTCCACAAACATTTTGAAGCCTCTTTGTATCTTAGTATTTGGTGGTAGTGATGTGCCATGGAGTCGTTTCCGACTCATAGCGACCCTGCATAGGGTTTCCAAGGCTATAAATCTTTACAGGAGCAGAAAGCCTCATCTGTCTCCCATGGAATGGCTGGTAGTTTCAAACTGCTGACTTTGAGGTTAGCAGCCTGATTCATAACCACTGTGCTACCAGAGCTTCTCATACACACACACACACACACACACATATATAT